GCCCACCCCCGCCCATCCACACGAATTCTCACCCCCCACGCAGCATCGGTAATGAACCTAAACCATGAGGCGCTGACCGCACAACGGCGAACTTGGGACGGACAACTTGCCATAATGAGCGGCAACGGAGCGGCGGGATTCTACGGGCGGCGCACGTACGGGTATTGGGGAGGACATAGCTGGAGCGTTTGGACCTGCGGGGCATGAGGACTTCGGGAGCCGGCGACGAGAAGGGCGGTGCGGCAGCGCTGGCGGCCGATTCAGGGCCCAAGCTGACCAGATATGCCGCGGGAGGCACTCGAAGTGGCGAAGAAGCGAAGAAGCAGGTACGTTCGTCGTTCTTTCCATTCTTCATACTTTGTGCTCATTCATCAATAGCGTGCTCATTCGAATATCAACAGCTCAAGCTTGGCCGAAGTCCTCCTGTCGGCGAGCGTGGAGCGTCACGCTGCCCAACGCGTCCCCCTCTTGTCGCTCACAACTTCGATACCTGCCGGACGCGTGGACCTTGGCATCTCAACATATACCTTGGCAGCGTCGAACTTCCAGGTGTCCGTCGATCGCACAGCAGTCACCCGCCCGGTGGAGGCTCAGCGATGCAAAGGGGCCGAACGCTGGGCGGCCCAGTCTTGGGAAGGGTGCCGTGAGGACTATTGCCGTTAAACGCTGGGCGTCGTGAGGCTAGCAAGGCTAAGGAGAAGACAACGAGGGGGGAGACGTTGAGAGACGAGAAGCACAGCGTTCTGGATCTCTGACCGAACTCATCCCGGTGCGCAACAGCATTCGGAACCGATATGTACCTATGCTGATCAGTGCTTTCGCAGATAGTCTCGCCTTGTTCTGTCACATTGATCACCAGTCCAACGTCGAGACCATCCTTCACATCCGTTGTATCACGCATTGACCCGTGTGACCGATCTCGCCTTTGTGTTCACAAATTCACCTTGTATTTGCTACTGGGGCTCGAATTGACAATCCATGTTACTAACCGACAAGACCACGATACATAAAAGTTACGAAGCAAGAGCGCGAATACATATGAAGTTGAGATCCGATGTCCGAACTTCAAATGACCTCGCAAAGCCAAAGACGTCCATGACTACAGAATCGCCCTACGCCGCGGCCGAGGCATCACCGAAGGCAGCCTGGGAAGACGCGGAAGGCGTCAGGCGCTCGTCTTGCCTGCTCGACGCGTCAGCGATACTCCCGGAACGCGTATCGCGCAATGATTACTTACATGTCCTCGGCAGTACTGCGGCGTACTTCCTCTATCGCACCCTTGTCCGACGAGCCGTCCTCTGCCTCGCCCACGACTCCCCCTTCTCCACCCGAGTTAAGCAGGCCTTGCGCGCGGGCGCCGTGGTTCACGTAGCTTGGATTCGATCTAGCATAACATCATCAGTCAAGTTCTTGTAAATGGATGATTCAATGCACTCAAGACCAAGTGACATAGAGTTTTGAGCAGGCCGCTCGCCGAACTCAATGTCTCCCAGCGGTGAACGCGCTCTGCGCGTGCGAAGAGTAGGCTTCCAGCCGAACCAGCCACAGACGGTGCAGATGATGCGCCGGTACGATGCGCGGGCCTCCGAGGTGACGCCGAAGAGCCCGAAGATGACGAATGCGAGGATGGGCGATGTCCAATTGGTGAAGTAGAATTGTGCTACACCGAAAGGCCCGCTGGACACTATGTCTGCGTAGGAAAAGCTCTCCGGCTGCCAGCCCGTGTGGTCGTTGGTCCAACAAGTAGAATGGGATGGGGCCGTAAAACAAATTGTCTTTCACATACAAGACGATCGTCGCGATGCCAAAGGGCAAAGTAAGTAAAACATCGATGCTTGCAAGAGCAAGGATTCGGAAGTAGTTTGGGCGCGATACTGAGTTGTTACTCTGCAAAAATTGGTCAATCTCCCGGCTATGGCGATAGAAGACTCGGACGACATGAGCTAGAGTGCTAGGCATGAGTGCTGCGAGATCAAGAGGCGCTCGTATGAGATGCAAAAGACGCACGATAGTAGAAGGTGACGGACACCAGCGGCGGAATCACAGTCCACGATTTGAGAAGCAAAATGTTGAGTATCGAGCCGTCGGAGGACTCGGCACAGCCAAACCCCTCAATGACCTCAAATCGATACCACTGAACTACGTAGTCTGATGCGCGCTCAGGGCGCACAGTGATCTTCGCGTTATAGATGTACTCACAGAGAGGTCCTGCAACCAGAAGAGGAATGCCGAGCCCGAGCGCCCACTCTATGGCGAGATCTCTGCGCCTCTGGCAATGTGCTCGATATCAGGAAGACAGGGTATGCGCTGAGACTCACCGCTACTTTTGTCGGGGGTTCGACGGATCGCATGCTCGTGATCAGGTACAGTCGGCGAGTGATAATCAGGGTGGCCATAGGCTTGACGACTGAGGTGATTATGCCTAAATGCGAGACTGCCATGTTTGCACGTTAAGTACATCATCATGCGGAACCGATACCAATACAGGGCATGCTCACCAATGTCACAATACACGTACAGCTTGATATCGGCATTATCTGACCAGATGATATCGTCGACACCACCGGCCAAGTTCTCGAAGAACAGCCAGAAGCATAAGAAAGCAACGCCCAAGTTCCAGTTCTGGCGGATGAAGCTGGTCAGGAGTACCAGAAGCAGCATCGCTGAAGCTAAGAAGCAAGCAATGGGGTAAAGGGGATACGTCGGGTCGGCGGCGACCATTGCGATATTGTTAGCAGTAGCACGCTCCTGCAAGGTCAAATTTCAGCCTCTTCTTATACGCTGTCTATACGTTGGTATTTAATACCGAACGTATTCGCGTAGACACGAACACCGCACACGAAGCTGATGACCATACGAGCTGGCGAGTGAAGAAGGGGAAAGGCCTGTCCGCGGATGTACGGGGGAGGCGCAGAGCAGACTCAACATCGCAGTGCGATTGTCATATGAGAGGCCCGTACGTACCGGATCGATATACACATCACGATCACTCTGGGTAACCTAGCACGTTTCCATGGGCTTCGATGATATCCACCATTCATGTCAGCGGAACGGCGGGAAGCGAGAGACGCGCCATATGACTACGTGCAAGTCCGACGGTCACCACAGAGTGTACATACATTGGTGAAGTGCTTGCCTAAACCTGAAAGCAGGTCTCCTTTCCGTAACTTGATCGTCAAGGGATATGACGTGGCAAAGATTGGAAGTTGATTTTTCATGCGGATGAGAAGGCGTATCGAGTCCGAATAAGCAATAACGAGGCAGGTGTACGATAGGCGCCCGCTGAACGGGACGCCAGCGGGAAGATGAGAGCACCAGTCTTCGTACAGTGGTACGTAGCCGCGGGGTCGGAAAGAAAGGCGTGGAACCAAGCTGTTCAGGAGACAGGGAACCTGGTCATTGTTGAAGCCATGTATGGTGGTGGTCGTGATCCAAGCTCGCGGACGGCGCAGAGAAGCAGGCCGGGCGTCAAACGGCCCGCCGCCCCACGCGCGGTCCGCCACTGCTCTGTGCTTGACACCCACGACGATGGCCGAACATCCCAACGTTCTGTCTATCTCTTCACTCTCGGCGCGTCCCTTGGGCTCGAGAAATTTACTCGCAATACATCATCTATGCCCCTCGACCAGATAGATCGCCTCGCTTTGACCTTCGCCTCATTCCCCCGAGTACGAACGTGCACCTCCTCCCAGCACTCCGAGGCCTAGGCACACATATGGGCATTCAGCCGCCAGCGTCGCTTTCGACATCCCTGCACATTCTCGTGGCTCCTCATCCTCCTACGCCACACCACCTGCAAACCTGACACGTGCATCTACGGCATGTCAGCGAATTCGACGGCGCGTCGATCTTGCCTGGACTAGGAAGATGGGACATCACGGTGGGACGCATACAGGCACAGAGAAGGACGCGGCGAGGGATGCGAGCAAAGACGGACGTAGTACAGCTGGCTGGTTGGAGCTGCGAGGACGGTGGCGCTGTCGGCCGATCCGCAGGCGCAGGGGAACCAGCTCCGTCGCGAGAGACACTCAACGCGGCTACGAGGTGGAGGCACAGGTGTGGTCATCCTCGTTTTGCTTACCTGCTAGCCGTACTCATCCCACTCGTGACAGTGAGGGGCACGCGACTGCCTGGGCATGTACACTCCGCTCGATGGCAAGAGGCTCTTCATATGCGCGGACGAAAGGCAATCTAGCGCGCCCATTCTTCCATTTGCGCTCGACTCTCATCCTCCTGAGTATGTCCGTCCTTACGCGCGCAGCATCCCGACCTCCCCATTCGCACCGCCTCGGTCATTCTCCAGTGCGACTGACGCCGTGCTCCCCATCGCACACCCGCGAGGGGCTTCCTCCGTCGCTCGCGGGACCCGGAGGCGCCAATCACGATCTGATCAAGAGAATGACATGCGTTCTCTTTGCCCACACAGAAAACACATCTGCGCAAGCGGGCAAGGTATGCTGTGAGAGCAAGTCGCAGTGGCGAAGAAACGAAGGTGCAGGTCTGTGCGTCGTTCCCAACTTCTTTCAAACTATTGCTTATTGCTCCATAGCTCAAGATCGCCCGAAGTACGGACTTGCCACTACCAGCGAGCAAACGGTGTTGACGCTACTCAGCATGTCCCCCTTTCTGTCGCTCGCCAGTTCGGCTAGTCCGGCATGGGGCATATCGTCTTGATACGCATCATGGCAATGTCGAACTCCCGAACCTCCCTCGACCGCACGATGCAGGGAGTCAATTGCTGGCGAGTATCGGTCTCCGAAGAGACGCAGTGAGGCAATTACCAGTGGTGATCGAGGGAGAGAAGCTCCGGCGCCTGGATTCTAGAGGCATAAAGGATCATGGAAGCGGGGACTCGGAGAGGCGAAGAGCGCAGCGCTCTGGATGGGGTACTGGTACGCGATAACACCTTGAGATATTCCACGATAATGCTAACCAGCGCCCTCACAGATCGGACCTATCGCCAGTGCATCGATAACCTGCTCGACGTCAAGACCTTTCGGCACAACCATATTGCCTCCCTTGGCGCTCTCGAGCGATCCTGCCGTTGCGTTCATGTTGTATTTGCTATCGGTTTCGTAGTACGATGTAGCCTCCCGTGTTATATGCAAGAAACCGCGATATCATAAATATTGCGAAGCAAAGACACGCATACATATAGTATTGAACCCAGATTGAACGCCGAAGACAGAAAGATAGGTAGCCTCGCACAGCGAGAGGCCCGCAGCGCCGCTGCAGAGACGGTGATGACAACAGAATCGTCCTACACCGCAACCGAGGCATCACCGAGGGTAGCCTGGGCAGACGCGGAAGGCGTCGGGCGCTCGTCGTGCCTGCTCGATGCGTCAGCGATACTCTCGGTACGCGGATTGGCCAATGATTAATTACATTTCCTCGGCAGTACTTCGGCGTACTTCCTTTATCGCATCTTTGTCATTATCTGAGCCGTCCTCTGCCTCACCCATGACTGCTCCTCCACCCTCTGGTTGATCTTGCGCGCGGGCGCCGTGGTTCACGTAGCTTGGGTTCGACCTAGCTCATCACCGTCAGTCATGCACTTGTGAATGGACGAACCCACGCACTCGAGACTCAGCGACATAGAGTTCTGGGCAGGCCGCTCGCCGAACTCGATGTCTCCCAGCGGTGAACGCGCTCTGCGCGCGTGAAGAGTCGGCTTCCAGCCGAACCAGCCGCACAAGGTACAGATGATACGCCAGTACGATGCGCGGGCTTCGGATGTGACGCCGAAGAGGCCGAAGATGGCGAATGCGAGGATGGGCGATGTCCACTTGGCGAAGTAGAGTTGTGCTACATCGAAAGTCCCTTCGGACACTATGAATGTATAGGAATAGCTCTCCGGTTGCCAGTCTGTGTGGTCGTAGGTCCAACCGAAGTATAATGGGATGGTACCGGAAGCCAACAAGTTTTTCACTTCCAAGACGACCGTCGCGATCCCAAAGGGTAAGGTGAGCAAGACATCAATGCTTGCGAGAGCAAGGATCCGGAAGTAGTTCGTTCGGGATACCGAGTCATTGCTCTGAAGGAAGTTGTCAATCTCCCGACTGTGGCGATAGAAGACTCGAGCGACGTGAGCTGGAGTGTAGGGCATGAGCGTTAGGGATCGAGGGCAATCGTCCAAGATGAAACTGACGCACGATAGTAGAAGGTGATGGACACAAATGGAGGAATCAGAGTCCACGATTTAATCAGCAAAATGTTGAGTATCGAGCCGTCGGGAGAGTCGCCGCAGCCAAAAGCTCCATCAACCTCAAATCGAAGCCACTGAACCACATAATCTTGAGGCTCGCTGAGGGCGCATGGCGATATTCAGTCCACAGACGTACTCACAAAGAGGTCCCGCGACAAGAAGAGGGATACCCAGGCCGAGTATCCACTCAATCGCGAGAGTCCATCGTCTCTGATGCTGAAATCAAAATCAAGGAGAATCGGTCGTGCTCTGCAACTCACCGCTGCCGTTGTAGGAGGTTCAACGGATCGCAGGCTTGTGATCAGGTATAGTCGACGAGTAATGATCAGGGTAGACATAGGCTTGACAACCGCAGTGATCTCTTGAATGTGCGATACTGCCCAATGTAGTGTCAGACGGAGAGGTTGAGCGCAATGAACAGCCTCGTCGAGGATATACGGACCGATGTCGCAATATACATCAAGCTTGATGTCGGCGTTATCGGCCCACACAATGGAATCGATGCCACCGGTCAAGTTCTCCCAGAAAAGCCAGAAACAGAGAAAGGCGACGCCCAAGTTCCAGCTTTGCCGGATGAAGCTGGTCAAAAGAACAAGGAGAAGCATTGCTGCAGCGAGGATGCAAGCAATGGGGTAGAGGGGATATGTCGGATCGGTGGCCCCGGCCATTGCGATGTTCCTAGCACACTCTGACAAGGTCAAAGTCCATACTCTTCTTATATGCTGCCATATGAGATGCCCGTACGTACCAGATGGATATACACATCACGATCACTCTGGGTAATCTAGCACGTTTCCGTGGGCTTCGATGATATCCACCATTGTTGACAACGGAACGCCGGGAAGCGAAAGATGCGCCAGATCACTACGTGAGAGTCCGATGCTCACCACGGAGTGTACAGGCATTGGTGAAGTGGTGAAATGGTCGCCTGAACGTGAAGGTACGTTTCCCTTTCATAACCTGATCCCCAAGGGACACGACGTGGCGAAGATCGAAAGTCGACTTTATGCGGACGAGAAAGCGTATCGAGTCTGAATAGTCAATAACGAGGCAGGTGTACGATAGGCGCCCTCGGGAAGATGAGAGTACGAATCTTCGTATAGTGGTACGTAGCCGCGGGGTCGGAAAGAAAGGCGTGGCATGCGTGTGTATGCCATGACATGCTTCGGAGTCGTGCCGCAAGCTGTCCAAGAGACAGGGAATCTGTTCATCGTCATCGCTGAAGCTATGCATGGTGGTGGTCGTGATGCAAGCTAGCGGAAGGCGCAGATCTAGAAAAGCAGGCCGGGCATTATGTAGACGGCCCGCTGCCCCACGCGCGGTACGCGCGGTCCGCTGCTGCTCTGCCTTTGACACCCATCGTACTCTCCATCTATGTGTTCACTCTCGGCGCGTCCCTTGGGCTTGAGAAGTCTACTCGTGATACATCATCCATGCCCCTCGACCAGATAGATCGCCTCGCTTTGACCTTCGACTCACTCCCACCAACCCTAGAAGGCATCAAGCCGTTCGTGTACGACAGGACGAGCTGGTGACGCGTGAGCATGTGATGCTGAGCTGGACCAGGCTGTGCGAGATCCCACGGAGGCCATCGCGGACGCGAGGGATGGGGAGAGGTTAGGGCCGCCGCCGCCCTCACCGCCCGCGAGCGAGGGTCACGAGTCAATGCCCATCCCTATACCGCGCAGCGCTTCGCCACAAGCCATCGAGTCCAGCATAACGCTCTCGATGTCTCCCGAGGCTGTGGGCAGTTTATTAACAAACCCTAATCCGAGTGCGAGCGAGAAGGGCAGCGCTCCTACGTCCAGCGCATGGATGGGCACCCTTGGGCACCCGCAAGACCAGGACACGCGAACAGCGACGGCGCGGCGAGCGTGACGTTCGACCTCCCCGCTCACCCGCCTGGCTCCTCATCATCTTATACTGCGTCGGTGGCGATGCCGTGTATAGTTCGCCAGCGACTCCGACGACTCCCGGGCCCGACTCACATACGGGTACTGGGAAGGACGTGGCCGGGAGGGACGCGAGTAGGGATGGGCGTGGTGCGGCTGAAGTCGTGAGAGCGACCATGAGCGTAAGGAATCTGGCAGGGGACGAGGAGGCCTAGGATGACGGCGCCGTCGGCCGATACCCAGGCGAAAGAGAACCAGCTCCCTCGCAAGAGGTGCTAGAAACGGCCTGGAAGTGAAGGCGCAGGTATGATCATCTTCGCTTTCCTTATTTGCGAGCCGTGCTAACCACGTCTTTTACAGTGGGGGATACGCAAATACTTGCACATGTACAATTCGCTCAATGGCAAGAGGCTCCTGACATGCACGGGCAACAGACGATCGAGCGCACCTATCCTTCCATTCGCGCTCAACTCTTATCTTCCTGAGGATGCCCGTCCTTATACTCGCAACACCCCGACCGTCCTACTCATCCCGCCCCGGTGCAACCGGCACTATGCTCCCCGTTGCTTATACGCGAGAAACTCCGTGCGCCGCGCGTGAGACCTGGACACGACAACCACGATCCGACCACGAGCAAAACCTCCGTGCTCTTTGCCCACCCGAGAATTCCTTCCCCTCCGTATGCCGCGTCAGCAGCGATCCACAAAGCAAAGGTCTTGATGTCCATCTACGTCACTCATACGGCTATGAGGCAAGCCGTCGATGAGAGAGATGCGAGTACGGACGGATGTGATGTAAAATGTGACTGCCTAATGGTGGGAGGACTATGACGCGTTGGGGTGCTTCGAGGGGATGTGAATGCCGTTCTAGCCGTACTTGCGGACGATATCTCGCCGCGAGTGGATTAGACATACCGTGCAATACACTCGAAGCGGCTGTGTGGCAAGGACGCAGGCACGTCGAGATGTGATACAGGTGCGCGACGGCATATTAGCCTATTCTGCACTCATTCTCACGAGCAGTTTCGCAGGCCGACAAGTCTCATTCTATCTCAACGATCGCCAGCAGAACGTTCAGTCCATTCGCTGCAGCTATATCATTACCGATGCTTTCGAGAGCCCCCGCCGTTGCAGTCGTCTTGTACTTGCTGCGGCTTCGTCGCACCATCCATGTTGCTATACAGTACGACAGAACCACGATACATGAAGATTACAGAGTCAGAGCGCGCGTACATATGCGGTTGAGAAGCGGTGTCCGAACTACAAGTGACCTTGCACAGCGAGAAGTTGCAGCGCTGCTGCACTGACATTGAGGGGCACAGCGCCATCCTTACACTTCGGCCGAAGCATGGCCGAAGTAAGCCTGGGAAGACGCGGAAGGCTGCGTCGAGCCCAGCGTCGGGCGCTCGTCGTTCCTTCTCGACGCGTTAGCGATGCTCTCAGCACGAGCAATGTGGTGCGACCTACGTCTCCTCAGCAGTACCCCGGGGTACTTCCTCTATGTCATCCTTCTCCGAGCCGTTCTCTGCCTCGCCAACTACTTCTCCTTCTCCGCCCTCAGGCTGATCTTGCGCGCGGGCGCCGTGATTGACGTAGCTTGGGTTCGATCTAGCATATCATCGTCAGTCATGCACTTCTTAATGAACGAGTGGACGCACTCGAGACCAAGCGACATAGAGTTCTGAGCAGGCCGCCCGCCGAACTCGATGTCTCCCAGCGGCGAACGCGCCCTGCGCGTGCGAAGAGTCGGCTTCCAGCCGAACCAGCCGCCGACGGTGCAGATGATGCGCCAGTACGACGCGCGAGCCTCGGATGTGACGCCGAAGAGGCCGAAGATGACGAATGCGAGGACTGGAGATGTCCATTGAGTGAAGTAGAGCTGCGCTACAGTGAAAGTCCCTTCGGATACTATGTCTGCATAGGAAAATGCCTCCGGCTGCCAGTCCGTGTGGTCGTAGGTCCAACCGAAGTAGAATGGGATGGGACCAAAAGTCAACAAGTTTTTCACATCCAAGACGATCGTCGCAATGCCTATAGGTAAGGTGAGTAGGATATCAATGCTTGCAAGAGCAAGGATCCGGAAGTAGTTTGTGCGCGATACTGAGTTGTTACTCTGCAAAAAATAGTCAATCTCCCGGCTGTGGCGATAGAAGACTCGGGCGACATGAGCTAGAGTGCTGAGCATGAGTGCTGCGAGATCAAGAGGCGCTCGTAGGAGATGCAAAAGACACACGATAGTAGAAGGTGATGGACACCAGCGGCGGAATCACAGTCCACGATTTCACAAGCAGAATGTTGAGTATCGAGTTGTCGGGTGAGTCGCGGCAGCCAAACCCTTCATCGACCTGGAATCGAAGCGACTGAACTACGTAGTCTTAATGCGCGCTCAGCGCGCAGTGACTTTCGCGTCATAGATGTACTCACAGAGGGGTCCTGCAACCAGAAGAGGAATACCTAAACCGAGTGCCCACTCTATAGCGAGATTCTTGCGTCTCTGGTGATGTGCTCGGTATCAGTAAAATAGGTCGTGCTCTGAAACTCACTGCCGCTCTTGTAGGAGGTTCAACGGATCGCAAGCTTGTAATCAGGTATAGTCGGCGAGTGATGATCAGGGTGGCCATCGGCTTGACAACCGCAGCGATCTCTTGAATGTGCGATACTGCCCAATGTAGTGTCAGACGGAGAGGTTGAGCGCAATGAATAGCCTCGTCGAGGATATACGGACCGATGTCGCAATAAACGAGAAATTTGATGTCGGCGTTATTGGACCACACGATGGCATCGATACCGTCGGTCAGAACCTCGAAGAACAGCCAGAAGCACAAGAAAGCGACGCCCAAGTTCCAGCTTTGTCGGATGAAGCTGGTCAAAAGAACAAGGGGAAGCATTGCTGCAGCCAGGATGCAAGCAATGGGGTAGAGAGGATATGTGGGATCAGCGGCGGGCATTGCGATCTTGTCGGCACACTACGAGGTCAAAAGCACATACTCTTCTTATATGCCGTCTATACGTTGGTATCTAATATCAAACGTATCCGTGTAGACAAGGCCGCCGTATATGAAGCGCATGGCTATACAAGGACGAGTGTAGAAGGGGAAAAGGTCTGTCCGAGAATGTACGAGCGAGGCGCAGAGCAGACTCAACATCGCAGTGCGATTGCCATATGAGAGGCCCGTACGTGCCAGATGGGTATGCACATCACGCATCACTCTGGGTAACCTAGCACGTTTCCACGGGCTTCGATGTTATCCACCATTCTTGCCAACGGAACGGCGGGAAGCAAGAGACGCGCCATATCGCTACGTGCAAGTCCGATGATCACCACGGAGTGTACATACATTGGTGAAGTGCTTGCCTAAACCTGAAAGTAGGTCTCCTTTCCATAACTTGATCCCCAAGGGGCACGACGTGGCAAAGATCGGAAGTTGATTTCATGCGGATGAGAAGGCGTATCGAGTCCGAATAAGCAATAACGAGGCAGGTGTACGATAGGCGCCCTCTGAATGGGACGCCAGCGGGAAGATGAGAGCACGAGTCTGCGTACAGCGGTACGTAGCCGCGGCGTCGGAAAGAAAGACGTGGGATCAAGCTGTTCAAGAGACAGGGAGCAGGTTCATTGCTGAAATTAAGTATTGTGGTGGTGGTCAGGACCGAAGCTCGGTAAGCTCGCGGACGTCGACGGCTCGCCGCCCCATGCGCGGTCTACTGCTATGCGCTTGACACCCACGACGATGGCCAAGCACACCAACATTCTCTCTGTAACTTCACTCTCGGCGCGCCCCTTGCGCTCGATGCTTTTACCGGCGATATATCTGAATCATTCACGCCCTTCGACCAGATAGATCGCCTCGCTTCGACGTTCGACTCTTTCCCCAGAGTACGAACGCGCACCGCCTAGCACATGAGCATCCCCGAGGTCTAGACTCGCGAATAGCAATAGTGGGCCTGCACACCCTCGTGCCCCCATCTCCCCTACACTACGTCGGTGGCAACACCGAAACCTAGCTCGCTGCAACCACACTTACGGCGCGCTGGCGAACCTGAAAGCTCCTCGATCCGACGGGAAGGACGTTGCTAGGACGGACACTAGCCGGAAGGGAAGAGGTGCGGCAGGAGCGGCGGGCGCTGTGGGAGGGCAATGCCGCCGCGCCACTTACCGGACGCTGTTCAGGCGGGCGGTATGTCGTAGGAGACAGTCAGAGCAGCTACGGGGACAGGGCGCAGGCATGGTCAATCTTTCCTATCCATATGAATACCATGCTCATCAAGTCTACTACAGTGAGGGACGCGTCGAACCCTCCGGCGTGGGGGTCTTGATTTGAGACTGCGCGTAGAACAACAAAACGGATGACAACATGACGTCGCGTCGAGTACATGCGCGCGTACTCGATGTGCTCAGCGACAAGCTCAGTCCTCTTCGATGACCCAGCACGCCCACCCTTCCAATGACGCCTGCCCATCCATTGGTCCCCTTATCCGCTTCCATCTCAGCGAGCACATTCACACCAGGAACCCTCGTTACTCCGAATGAGACGACACGCCATTACACTCAGGTCGCGAAGTTCAATCGAACGCTCAGTTATCGGAGGCCGTTGAAGCGCATGTACGATTGCCCCGGCGAGCCAAGGAAACTGGAGGATGTGCGACCTTGCGCCCACCCCGCCTCAGCCACCCCATCTATCCCGCCCGTGCCAACCACCAGTGCAAACGGGGCCACTCCCTAGGCCCCTATGGCGCGTCGACAGCGCACGCAAGAAACATACCCAGTGCACGCGCTCTCGCGCGCTCAACGAACCGCGGACCCAGTTAGTATCTTATAGGCAGATGGAACACGACCGGCACCATGCGTACAGGCATAGGAGGGAGTTTTGGAAGATGTGGCGCAGGACCTGAGGTGGACGGATTGCGGGAAGGATGAGAAGAAGATATCGTTCTGGCGCTTTGCGCGCGCGGTCTCGGGAGGGTCTACGAGACGAGGCGAGGATGCGGGTACGGATACTCTCGCTTGTTCGTCTCACCACTATGCTTACTCTATTGCAGATCATACAACGAACTACGTGCGGAGGTGCAACGCCTTCAGTGGTACTCTCGGACGGATCGGCTTTGTTCTTTGGCGGCGGAGAACGCAGATTGGCGCCACGGGAGGATATGGATGGAATGCAGGTGGCGTGGCTAGCGCCGCGAGCAGGGCGATGGATACGGCGACCTGAAAGGCCACAACGATGTACGCCGGCGGCGAAGCCGAAAGATACCTGTATGGCCGTTCACGACACATCAATGCGCCCGACGAAAAGCGGACTCGACCGAGATCAGGAAGGCGGGATACCACCAGCGGAACATATACCGGTACTGGGAAGGACGCGAGGGATGAGAGCAGGGGGACGTGGTGTGGCTGGACCAGTTAGAGCTGTAAGGAGGACGAGGAGGCCGGCGGCGCTGTCGGCCGATGCCTAAGCGCAGGTATGGACATCCTCGTTTTGCTTACCTGCTAGTCGTACTGATCATGTTTATCGTAGTGAAGGACACGCGACTGCTTGGGCATCTACAACGCTCGATGGCCAGACGCTCTTCAGACGCGCGGACAACAGACAATCGAACGCGCCCGTCCTTCCACTTGCGCTCGACCCTCATCTTCCTGAGGATGTCCACCTTTACGCTCGCGACATCCCGACCACCTCATTCATTCCGTCCTAGTGCAACCGGCGCTATGCCCTCCATTGCCCACGCGTGAGGGGCTCCATGCGCCGCTCGCGGGACCGGGACACAACGATCTTGATCCAGCTGAAGTGCAGCCTGCGTGCTCTTGGCCCACTCAAGAGGACCTTCGGCTCTGTATGCCGCGTCAGCGTCGAGCGACGAAACGGAGATCGCTTGGTGCTCACCCACGACACTCAGACGGCCATCAAGCAGACTGTCGACGATAGAGATGCGTGTACGGGCCGATACGGTCCGAAATGTGGCTTCTCAATCATGGGAAAGGCCATGACGTGTTGGGGGTGCTTCGAGAGGATGAGAATACTGTTCTAGCCGTGCTTGCAGACGACATCTCGGCGCAAGTGGGCCATACATACCGTGCGATACACTCGGAGCAGCTGTGTGGCAAGGGCGCATGCACATCAGGATGTGATACAGGTGCGCGGTAGCATGTTGGTCTGTTCCGCACTCGTACTGACGAGCGCTTTCGCAGGTCGGCCCGTTTCGTTCTACCTCAATGGCTGTACATGTCAGTGGGACAATCAGTCTATCTGCCACACTGTCATATTGTCACTGATGCTTCCGAGAGATCCCGCCGTTACGTTTGTCCCGTACATGCAGCAGCTTCGTTGCATATGACCATCCATGTTACTGTACAGTACGGCAGTACCATGATACATAAAGGTTGCAGAGTAAGAGCGCGCATACATATGCAGTCGAGAACCGATGTCCGAACTACGAGTAACATCGCACAGCAGGGAGCCCGCAGCGCTGCTGCATCGCCAAGGAGCACAGAAAGTCCTACATCCTGACCGAAGCATCCCCGAAGCCAGCCTGGGAAGACGCGGAACCCTGCGTCGGGCGCTCGTCGTACCTACTCGACGCGTCAGTGTATCCCCCAAGTACGAGCAATGTTGAATGAGCACTTACGTCTCCTCGGCAGTACTCCGGCGTACTTCCTCTATCTCATCCTTCTCCGAGCCATTCTCTGCCTCGTTCACGACGCCGTCTCCACCGTCCTGATCTTGCGCGCGGGCGCCGTGGTTGACATAGCTTGGATTCGACCTAGCATGCCATCGTCAGTCGTGCACTTATAAATGGACGAGTCGACGTACTCAAGACCCAGTGACATAGAGTTCTGAGCAGGACGCTCGCGGAACCCGATATCTCCTAGTGGGGAGCGCGCCCTGCGCGTGCGAAGAGTAGGCTTCCAGCCGAACCAGAGGCAGACGGTGCAGATGACGCGCCAGTATGAAGCGCGAGCCTCCGATGTGACGCCAAAGAGGCCGAAGATGGCGAATGCGAGGATGGGCGATGTCCATTGGGCGAAGTAGAGTTGTGCTACACTGAAAGTTCCTCCGGACACTATGTTTGCGTAGGAAAATGCCACCGGCTGCCATTCCGTGTGGTCGTAGGTCCAACCAGAGTAGAACGGGAAAGAGGTAGTAGTTAACAGTATAGCTTTCACAGTCAACACGATCGTCGCGATGCCTATGGGTAAGGTGAGAAGAATATCGATGCTTGCAAGAGCAAGAATGCGGAAGTAGTTTGTTCGAGATACCGAGCTGTTGCTCTGTAGGAAGTTGTCAATCTCCCGACTGTGGCGATAGAAGGTTCGAGCGACATGAGCTGGAGTGCTGGGCATGAGTATTGCAAAATCAAAGAGGAATCGTATGAGGAAATCAGACGCACGGTAGTAGACTGTGATGGATACCAGAGGAGGTAACACATTCCAGGTGTTAATAAGCAATATGGCGAGTATCGAGGCGTCGGAGGAGTTGGTGCAGCCAAACCCCTCAAGGATTTCAAATCGAAGCTCCTGAACTACGTAGTCTTGATGCGCGCTCAGTGCGCACAGTGATATTTACATTATAGAGACACTCACAGAGAGGTCCTGCAACCAAAAGAGGAATACCCAAACCGAGCGCCCACTCTATGGCGAGATCTCTGCGTCTCTGGGGCTGTGCTCGGTATGCGGAAGATAAGTTGTGCTCTGAGACTCACCGCTGCTTTTGTAGGGGATTCTACGGATCGCAAGCTCGTGATCAGGTATAGTCGGCGAGTAATAATCAAGGTGGCCATAGGCTTGACGACAAAGGTGATTATGCCTAAATGCGAGACTGCCATGTTTACACGTTAAGTACATCATCATCATGCAGAACCGATACCAATACAGGGCATGCTCACCAATGTCACAATACACGTACAGCTTGATATCGGCATTATCTGACCAGATGATAGCGTCGGCACCACCGGCCAAGTTCTCAAAGAACAGCCAGAAACATAAGAAAGCAACGCCCAAGTTCCAGGTCTGGCGGATGAAACTGGTCAAGAGTACGAGAAGTAGCATTGCTGCAGCCAGGATGCAAGCAATAGGGTAGAGGGGGTATGTCGGATCGGCTGCGGCCATGATCACGAGTCTTGGGAGTGTTGACGGGATTCTGCAAGTTAGATGCCTGCCATATATACTCCCATTCGAAGCAAAATAGCTTCGTTATTGATTCAGAGTACGTGGCGCAAACGAGATCACGTCTATACTATAGTATTGACGATTATCTCGCGATATCAAAGTGTATCGTGATTCCAGGCAACCATTGTCGTCGGGTTTGAGACGTACCCGTGCGCGTACGAGCATGCGCATGCCTACAGGGCTCGGGGAGATGTGCACAGGAGACGACTTAACGCGACGCGTGACGCGAACGACGCGCTGGTTTGGAAGATTGGTTTGTATACTTAGAAACCAAAGATAACGAGGAAGCGTCTACATGCGTGCATGCCTATACACCATGCTCGCATTATTCTTGCTAGGCGACGGGAGCCGACTGGCGGAACAGAATCATATCCCCTCTACACGTATCTACAAAGTTTCTGGGCGCAAGTCAGATGGTGTCCTCGTGTAGACTGGTGTCAAGAGGCGTACCAGACTGATCCGCGCGCGTGCGGTGTGGGTGTACTACGACGAAGCAGAGGGACAACAAGTCGTCACCTGTACGAGATGGGGCTTAAGATGTGTTCCCCGCCGTTGCTAGATGACATGACAATCGTCCAAGATAATTCAAGGCGGCGCACAGGAGCCAACACTGAGTTGAGAGCCATAACGGGAAACATTCGTGCAGGGCACGCATTGGTATGCATATGCAGAGTCACTTGGAGCTTTCACGGCATACTACTTTGAATATTCAAGGACTGTCATCATTGATTCAAGGGTTGGTGGCGGTGGCGGTGGTGGTGGTGGTAGAGACCAAGAGAAGATTGGCCTGCGGCTACGCGCTAGTAACCGCCAGGAACCGCCTTGCCGCCTCTCTCACTAGCTCTCACTTCACTCACGATGTCCCCAACGCCGTGACTGTTTCCTCGATCATTCTTTCTCAATGCTATGTCCGGGCCGCCACTACCTCCAGCTGCGAGCGAGGAGCACGAGAGCATGCGTATACCACTCCCACGCAGCGCTTCGCCACAACCCATCTACCTCAGCACTGCTCGCGAACCCAAATCCGAGTACGAATGGTTACCCGCGAGACTGGGGCATGCAGATAACTATACTTAGCGCCTCGCCCTACTCGGCGTACAGTAACCCCCCATATGTGGCTCCTCTTTATCCTACGCTGTGTACGGCGGCATCCCCGGAACATGGCTCACTCAAGACTCACCCCGCACGAAGACTAGCCGACACAGCCGAGTACGGGACTAGGATGCGTGCGCCGAGGGATGCGAGTTGGAATGAAGAGGTTCGACCGGAATTTCTGGAGCTGCGGGGACTACAAAGAGGAGGATGGTGGGCCCGGACCGCAGGACAAGCACTGTCGCGAGAGGCGCGTGAAGCGGCTACGAGGCGAGGTCGAAGGTATGATCCTCCTCGTTCCACTCATCCAAAAGCTATGCTGATCACGTCTACTACAGTGAGGGGCACGCAGGACGATGGAATGGGCAACAACACGGACCACGGACGCGTCGCGCGCCGCGGAGCGGGCTCTCTCCATTGCATTCGATAACTCGCTCGCCTTATCATCCACCCCATGTCCCACGACACAGCTACATCAAAACCCTAGCTACTGCCCGCTCGCTAGCTCGCGCTCATCGGACAACAATCTCACGTCTGGGACTTCGACGCTCAACATCAACTACAATAGCTCAACCAAGTGAGACCGTCGGAGGACATCTACGACATGGCAAAGGTCACATCGTGGAGGGCGCAGTGCAGGCGTGGTCACCCCGCCGAACAAAGGATACTACAGGATGCCTGTCCCTGCGTCCGGAGCCCATCGACCGCCCCAATCGGCCACCTCGCCCTCGCTATCCCTCCGTGCAGCATGCTAGACCCAAGACGCGGATAGTAATCTGCCGTGAGCGCAACGCCCAACCTGCCCGCTCGCCGTCGCGGTTCATCTTCCGACGCTACACACAACACCGGTCAACTGCGAGCAACGCTATCACTTGGACTCCGACACCCGAGCGAAGCCAGCGGGTCGCCGACTCGACCGAACTAGCGCATGTCGATGTGACCAGCAATACACACAGAGATACCGGCGATGGTGCTGGTAGGATGCTCGCGAGCTGTGGTGGAGTGCGGTTGCAGAGGCTGGAGCTTTGCACGATGCGACGAGGGACAATGGTTTGCAAGGGGGAGAGGAGATTAGGCGCGGCGGCCGCGTTTAGACATGGTGCCTAAGCACAGGCTGAGAAGAGGCGCCGCGAAGGGCGCTCAAGCTCGTCTCTCTGTTCTCAATGAACGACTACAACCGAATCGACCATCTCCGATATGCCTACGCTTGTCCGCCCGCCTCCATACGCAACAGCTGATCTTGGACGAAGATACTCGATACCTGTCGAACGCGCCGTGTACGCGCGTTAGGATCCGCTACTAGAGGGAGTCTGGGAAGTTGGGATGCAGGGCTTGATAGACCGAAAGCTGGGCGTACCGAGCCCAGGAAGGACACAGTGGAACGGATGCCTGCGGAGATCGGCGAAATGAGGCTCGGGCGGTAGCACCGGAGACCTCGGTGGGCGAAGAGGACAACGTTCTGGATGTGGTACCGGTGCGCGATAGCATCTTGATATGGTCCGCGATCATGCTAACGAGCGCCCTCGTAGACTGCTTCGACTTGTACTGTCACGTCGACTACGGGGTGAACGACAAGACCATCCACCGCAATCATAGCAACGCCTTGGATTCTCGAGCGATCCTGCCATTGCGTCTATCTAGTGTTTGCTGCTAGCTTTGTAGCACGAGAACGCAGTCCATGTTACTATACGACAGAGGCACGATACATGAAGCTTAAGGAGCAAGGAACGCGCATACATATCAATCCGAGAACCGAATTATGAGCGATCCCGCACAGCGAGAAGCTGCAGCGCAGCTGCAGAGAAACATCCGTGACCACAGAACCGTGCTATACCTCGGCCGAAGCATCACCGAAGCCAGCCTGGGAAGACGCGGAAGGCTGCGTCCGGCGCTCGTCAAACCTACTCGGCGCGTCAGCACTACTCTCAGTACGAGCAATGTTGGCAGGGTACTTACGCCGCCTCGCCAGCATCTCGACGTATTTCCTCGATCTCATCCTTCTCCGAGCCGTTCTCTGCCTTGCCCGAAACTCCTCCTTCCCCGCTCTGGTCTTGCGCGCGGGCGCCGTGGTTGACGTAGCTTGGGTTCGATCTAGCATATCATCGTCAGTCAAGTCCTTGTAAATGCGTCATTCAACGCACTCAAGACCCAGCGACATGGAGTTCTGCGCAGGCCGCTCACCGAACTCGATATCTCCTAGCGGCGAACGCGCCCTGCGCGTGCGAAGCGTCGGCTTCCAGCCGAGCCAGCCGCCGATGGTGTAGATGACACGCCAGTACGACACGCGGGCTTCCTTTGTGACGCCGAAGAGGCCGAAGATGACGAATGCGAGGATGGGTGATGTCCAATGAGTGAAGTAGAACTGTGCTACTTCGAAAAGCCCGTCGGACACTATCTCTGCATAGGTAACGCTCTCCGGCTGCCAGTCCGTGTGGTCGTAGTTCCACCCGTAGTAAAATGGGATGGGGCCGGAAGTCAACAAGTCCTTCACATTCAAGACGATTGTCGCGATCCCAATGGGTAAGGTAAGCAAGACATCAATGCTTGCGAGAGCAAGGATCCGGAAGTAGTTCGTTCGGGATACCGAGTCATTGCTCTGTAGAAAGTGTTTGATCTCCCTATTGTGGCGATAGAAGACTCGAGCGACATGAGCTGGAGTAAAGGTCATGAGCGCTACGGGATCAAGAAGCAGTTGTCCAAGATGAGCCTGACGCACGATAGTAGACGGTGATAGACACCAGGGGAGGCAATACACTCCAGGCCTTGATAAGCAATATGGAGAGTATCGAGCCGTCGGGGGAGTCGGTGCAGCCAAACCCCTCATTGATCTCAAACTGAAGCCACTGAACCACGTAGTCTTGATGCGCACTCAGCGCGCACATTGGTCTTCACATTATAGATGTACTCACAGAGGGGTCCTGCAACCAAAAGAGGAATGCCCAAACCGAGTGTCCACTCTATGGCGAGATCTCTGCGTTTCTGGTGATGTGCTCGGTATCGAGAGGACAGGTCGTGCACTGAGACTCACCGTCGCTTTTGTAGGAGGTTCAACGGATCGCAAGCTTGTGATTAGGTATAATCGACGAGTAATGATCAGGGTGGCCATGGGCTTGACAGCCGCAGCGATCTCTTGCATGTGCGATACTGTTCAATATGATGTCAAATGGAGAAACTGCGGAATGACTAGTCCCATTGAGGGTACAGACCGACGTCGCAATAGACATATAGCTTAATATCCGCATTATCAGACCATATGACAGCATTAATGCCTAGGGTAAGGTTCTCCCAGAAGAGCCAGAAACAGAGAAAGGCGACGCCTAAGTTCCAACTTTGTCGAATGAAGCTCGTCAGCAGCACGAGAAGCAGCATTGCTGCAGCCAGGATGCATGCGATAGGGTAGAGAGGATATGTCGGGTCGGCGGCGGCCATAGCGCTCGACTTCGAGGTGTTGTTGTTCTCGGCGAGTCAGATGTCTGGCCATATATACTTGCGCTGGGAGCGAATAGTGTCAGTCAAATGAATCATCTATCAAGAGCAAGACAGGGGACACGACGTACGGCAAACGTACATGCTCGTCTCGCAACGATGTGCAGTACGTCGCCAATCAAGGCGACCATTGCACGCGAGCTTGCTGCTGCACGAGCGTGCACATCACTTCGTGGTGGCGACACTGAAGAAAATGTGCACGGAGAACGGGTGCGCGCGAGAAAGTCGTTGCCTTCCCGGTATCGAGAAGCACCGGTGATCGACACGGGTACGATCTTAGGATGCATACGTAGCGCCAGACAAGGGCACGAATGATAGCTGCTGCACCAACTCGCGCGATAGACGACTCTAGGAAAGCGACAGCAATACAGGAAGCGAGATAAACGATCGTCCTATGCAACGGGCAAGTCAAAATTGGCGTGCAGATATGTGCACACATTGGACACCGCGATGTTATGCTCGCGCTACCCTCCGAAAGTTGATGCAATCGGCTGGGCAGATGTCGTTGGAACGTATGATCAAAGCTACAAGGTGTAAGTCAGGCGGTAGCTTTGGAGACAAACGAGGCAGGATACGTACCGAACCAATCCGTGCGCATGCGGAGTGTACTGTTGCGGTCGTAGCCTTGATGTGCTACGATGGAGCAGGTGAGCAAAACGACACCAACCGGTACGAGATGAAGGATGAACTTTGCTCCTTTGTTGCTGGATGCTTGATCAATCGGCCTACGCGCTGTGACCGTCAGATATACAGATGACCGAACGGCGCACAAGGGTCGATACTTGACGAGATCTACTTGTGTCACGAATGGTCTACTGCATCTGACGTGTCACTCTTACACCCGTACGAGTGTTGGGTCATTAATAGCGCCAATAGCGAGGGTGCGCGTTCTGAGGCGCGCTGATGAAAGCGCACGAGGTTTTCCAGGTACGAAGCGGGAACAGTAGTGATCGCAAGGCCAGTGCTAGCAAGAAGAGCGCGTATACGTATGCGTATGCGTATTGGGTATCACTTGGGCTTCGCGCGGTGCATTGCATCGAAAGTTGAAGCTGAAAGAGGATTATTATTCGGAAGTCGTGGTGGTGGTGGAAGTGAACTCTTTCACTTCACTCACCTTCCCTCAGGACCGCCGCCGCCTTCCTTTCTTGCGAGCGAGGGACATCAAGCAATGTTTATACCTATTCTACGCAGCTCCTCGCCACAGCCCGTCGACCTCAACATACCGCTGTCGACGTCTCCCCCGGCAGTGGGCAGCCTGCTTGCGAACTTTGACTCAGAGAGCCGAGCAAGAATGTACTTCTCCGGCTAGCGCATGGCTACCTGCGACACTAGGCAACGTGAATGGCGATACTTAGCGCCGTGAGCGTGACGTCCGACTTGTAGCGACCCACGATGTGTGGTCCTCCATACTGTGATCCTGCGCTGCGTCTGGCCGTATTCCCGAATCATAGCTCGCTCAAGACCCGGTCACGAAGACTGGACGATGTAGTCGAGTACGGGGACTCGGGAGGACACGCGGGAGGGGTACGAGGGGGGTAGCGGCGCAAGAGCGCAGGACAGTTAGTCCGTCGCGAGAGGCGCTCGAAGCGGCTACGAGGCAAGGATCAAGGTATGACTCTCCTCGCTCTACTCATATGAAAGCGATGCTGATCACGTCTACTGCAGTGAGGACCACGCAGAACGGGCAACGACATGGTCTAAGGCCGACTATGGGCGCGTATACATTACTCTCAACTCAGCCCTCGCGCGGCGCGGACCGCAGGAGCGCGCTGTCTCTATCGCACTCGGCCACTCGCTCGTCCTAATATCCACCCTAACTCCCATGACGCGACTACATGGAAACTCTCGCCCCTCACCGCTCTCTACCTCGCGCTCAATCACGTCCGGGACTTCGACGCTCAACAGCGACCGCTCAACCACGGGAGACCGCCGGAGGACCTGCACGATATGGCAATGGTCACGTCATGGGGCGCGTAGCAGGGCGTAGCGCGGACTTCATCGCCCCGCTGAGCAAAGCATACTGGTGGACGCTCGTGTTTGCGCCCGGAGTGCCGCCACCGCTCGACTCGTCCCGCCGTCGAACTCCCTGCCCTCCGTGCAGCCGGCACCCTGCTCCCAACGCCCACATCAAGCCTCATCACCACGCGCGAATGCTTCAGTCCTAGCGCCTGGAACGTCCCCTCAACGCGGGACACGGACGATAGCTGGCCGTGAGCATAACGCTCGACTCGCCCTCGCGGTTGGGCCTCCTCCGGTATGCACAAGATCGGGCAACAACGAACATCATCACTTGCTCAATCTCAAGCCCCGCCCACGAATCGACCGAACTAGTGCAGCTCGGATGCGACCAGTAATGCGACCAGTAATACGCGCATAATACCAGACACGATGCTTGTAGGACTCTCGCGAGTTGAGGCGAAGGGATCCGGCTGCAGAGGGTGGAACTTTGCGCAGTACGACGAGGGATATGGGCCTGCAAGGGCGAGGAGGAGGAGGAGGGTGTGCACCTAGGCCAGGCGCGGGCTGAGAAGAGACGCCGCGAGAGGCGCTCAAGGCGGCTTCGTCGAACAGCCGCGATTGGGTCGTTTGGCTCCAACAAGACTCTACCCGCCTCATCTTCCCCGCCTGTACACCCACCAGTTCATCGTCAACAAAGATGCTCGTTACCTGTGGCGCGCGTTGGGATTCGCTAGTGTGCTCGTGCTCGGCTTGAGCAGTCTCTCGTGCAGTCCCTGGGCATATGAACGTCGCCAGTCGGAGATTGGAGGCGCTGCTAGAGGGAGTCTGGCGAGTTGGGATGTGGGGCTTGATAGACCGAACGCTGGGCGTACCGTGCTCAGAAGAGATGCAGCGGAACCAATGCCCGCGGAGATTGGCGGGATGAGACTGGCGATCGTATCGGAGACCCTGATGGGCGAGGAGGACAGTGCTATGGATGCGGTACCGGTACGCGATAGCTTCTTGAGATGGTCCACGATCATGCTAACGAGCACCCTCGTAGATTGCTTCAACCATTTCTGTCACACCGACCACCGGGTTAACATCAAGACCATCCGTAGCCATAGTATCATCTTGAGTTCCCGAGCGATCCTGCCCTTGCGTACGGCTTGCGTTTGCTGCCAGTCTTGTAGTACGATACAGCAATCCATATTATTGTACGACAGAAGCACGATACATCAAGCGTACGGATCAGGAGTGTGCATACATATGAATCTGAGAACCGAGCTAAAAGCGATCTCGCACAGCGAAAAGTTGCAGCGCTGCTGCAGAAGTCCATCATTCCATGCAACCACAGAAATCGAAGCGAAGCATCTTACACGTCGGCCGAGGCATCACCGACGCCAGCCTGGGAAGACGCGGAAGGCTGCGCCCGGCGCTCGTCAAACCTACTCGGCGCGTCAGCACTACTCCCAGTACGACCAATGTCGGGTGGGTACTTACGCCGCCTCGCCAGCATCTCGGGGTGCTTCTTCTATCTCATCCTTCTCCAAGCCGTTCTCTACATCATTCACGATGCCTCCGACCTCCCCGGCCTGATTTTGAGCGCGGACGCCGAGATTAACGTAGCTTGGGTTCGACCTACCGCATCATCATCAGTGAAGGTTCTGGAAATGCACGAGTCGTCGCACTCAAGACCGAGCGACATAGAGTTGCGAGCAGGACGCTCTCCAAACTCGAAATCTCCTAGCGATGAACGCGCCCTGCGCGTGCCAAGAGTCGGCTTCCAGCCGAACCAGCCGCACACGGTGCAGATGATGCGCCAGTACGACGCGCGGGCTTCCGATGTGACGCCGAAGAGGCCGAAGATGATGAATGCGAGAAAGGGCGATGACCATTGAGTGAAGTATAATTGGCCTACATTGAAAGGCCCGTCGGACACTAAGTCTGTGTAGAAAAGTTTCTCCGGCTGCCAGTTCGTGTGGTCGTAGGTCCAACCGTAGTAGAATGGGATGGGACCGAGAGTCAACAACTGTTTCACATCCAAGACGACCGTCGCGATTCCGATGGGTAAGGTAAGCAAGACATCAATGCTTGCGAGAGCAAGTATGCGAAAGTAGTTTGTACGAGAAACCGAGTCGTTGCTCTGTAAGAAGAGGTTGATCTCCCGATTGTGACGATAGAAGACTCGAGCGACATGAGCTGGAGTATAGGTCATGAGCGTTAGGGGATCAAGAGCAATCGTCCAATATGAACCTGACGCACGATAGTAGAAGGTGATAGACACCAGGGGAGGTAACACATTGCAGGAATAAAGAAGCAATATGGCGAGTATCGAGCCGTCGGAAGAGTTGCCGCAGCCAAATCCTTCATCGACCTCAAATCGAAGCCACTGCACTACGTAGTCTGGATGCGCGCTCAACGCGCACAGTAACCTTTGCGTTAGAGATGTACTCACAAAGAGGTCCTGCAACCAAAAGAGGAATGCCCAGACCGAGCGCCCACTCTATAGCGAGATCTCTGCGTCTCTGGTAATATGCTCGGGATCAGGAAAGATAGGTCGTGCACTGAGACTCACCGCTGCTTTTGTAGGAGGTTCAACAGATCGTAAGCTTGTGATCAGATATAGTCGGCGAGTGATGATCAGGGTCGCCATAGGTTTGACAACCGATGTGATCATTTGCATATGCGATACTGCTCAGTGTGATGTCAGATGATGAGTACGGGCGGAACGAATGGCCTCATTGAAGATATGCTGACCGATGTCACAATACACGTACAGCTTGATGTCGGCGTTATCGGCCCACACGATGGCATCGATGCCGGCTGTCAGAACCTCGAAGAACAGCCAGAAGCATAAGAAGGCGACACCCAGGTTCCAGCTTTGCCGAACGAAGCTGGTCAAGAGAACGAGAAGCAGCATCGCCGAAGCCAGGATGCAGGCAATGGGGTAGAGGGGATATGTCGGGTCAGCGGCGGCCATAGCGTTCGACTTCGGGTATTGATGGTCTCAGCGAGTCATATATCTGGCCATATATACTTGCGCTAGGAGCGAATAGTGTCATTCACATGTATTCTCTGTCCAGAGAGCAAGACGGGGACAAGACGTACCGCGAACGTATCTGCTTGTCCCGCTACGATGTGGAGTGTCGCCAGTGAAGACGACCGTTGCACGCGAGCTTGCTGCTGTATGAATGAGCGCACGCATCGCTTCGTGATGGCGACACTGCAGAAGTTGTGCACGGAGAAGGGGTCCACGCGAGAGAGTCGTCGCATTTCCGTATCAAGAAGCACCGGTGATTGACACGGGTACGATTTTAGATACATACGTACCGCCGGACAAGAACATACCTTATATGTGCCGCGCCAACTCGCGCGATAGACGAGTCTAGGAAAGTGACAGCGATACAGGTAGCAAAAACAAACGATCGTCCTCTGCGACGAGCATGAATGTTAGCTTCGGAGTCGAAATTGGCGAGCAGATATGTGCACACATTGGATACCGCAATGTTATGCTCGCGCTACCCTCCGGGTGTTGATGCAATCGGCTGAGCAGATGTCGTTGGAACGCATGATCGAAGCTACAAGGTGTAAGTCAGGTGGTAGCTTTGGAGACAAGCGAGGCAAGATACGTACCGTATCAATCCGTGCGGGTGCGGAGTGTTGGGATCGTAGCCTTGATGTGCGACGATGAAGCAGGTGAGCAAAAAGACACCGACCCGTACGAGACGAGGGGTGAACTTTGCTCCTCTGCCACTGAATGCCATGCCTATCGGCCTACGCGCTGCGACCATCAGCGCTACAGATGGCCGAACGGCGCACGAGAGGTGAAACTTGACGGGGACCGCTCGCGTCGCGATTCGTGTAGTGTAGCTGGGAAGCACTGGCTTGCATTGGCCTCTCACTCTCACACCCGCACGAATATCAAGTCAAGAGCGCTTCCATAGCGCCGATAGCGAGGACGCGCGCTCTGGAGGAGTGGAAGGCGCGCTGATGAAAGCGCGCGATGGTTACCACAAAGCGGGTACAGTGGAGACTGCCGCAAACACAGCTCGTATGCATATCAGTTGGGCTTTGCGCGGTACATAATATTCAGAGTTGACGTTGAAGGGCCATTATCATTGGCAGGTCGTGGTGATGGTGGAAGCTAAGAGTACATTGGCCGGGCCCGCTGCTGTGATCCGCGAATGACGCGCGAACCGCCTACAGACCGCGCCGTCTTCGATTCAAGTACTCTTTCACTTCATCGCTCACCTTCCCTCAGTGAGGGACACGAGCCAATACGTATATCTACTCCACGCGGCGTCTCATTACAACCCGTCGAACCACAGCGTATCGTTGTCGACGCCCCGCGAGGCTGTGGGCGCCCTACGAGCGAACCCTAATGGGAGAAGAACGTGCTTCTCCGGCTAACACATGGCTACCTGCGAGACCATGTAATAGCGCACGCGAGTAGCGATACTTAGCGCCATGAGCATGATGTCCGACAGTAACCTCCGGCGTGTGGTTCCCCATAATCCTGCGCTGCGTCCGGGGGGTATTCCCGAAATATGGCTCCCTCAAGACCCAGCCACGGTCCACGCGCGAAGATTGGCCGACGCAGCCGAGTACCGGGACTTGGAAGGGTACGGCGAGAGACGCGAATAGAAAAAGGGAGACGTCTGACTGGAACGGGCGGGGGTTTAGGAGATAAGGATGGCGGGACAATCAGTCCGTCGCAAAAAATGCTCGAAGCAGCTATAAAGCGATAGCGCAGGTATGACAATGCTTGTTTTGCTTATTGAAAAGCTATTGTGACCACGTCTATTACAGTGAGGAACACGCAGCATGACAGAATGGGCAACAGCATGATTCAACGCCGACAACTCTCTCGTCAGCCCTGGCGCGCCGCGGCCGGCAGATAAGGGAACGCGCGCTCTCACTTTCTATCGCACTCGACCACTTTCTCGCGATCGCCCTATCATTCACCTCAGCTACAACGCCGCAACTCAATGGAAATCTTCGCTTCTCCCCGCTCTCCACCTCGTGCTCATCGAACGAGTTGTTCACGTCCGGGACCCCAACGCTTGACAGCAACCGCTAAACCAAGGGTTACCATACCATCTGAGGATATGGACGACATGGCAAAGGTCGCATCGTGGAGTGCTTAGTGCGGACATCATCATCCCGCAGAGCAAAGGATACTGGGGGGTGCTTGTTCTTGCGCCCGGAGCGCCTCGCCCGATCCATTCGGCCACCCTTGCCCTCGCCATTCCTCCATGCAGCTGTCACCGTGCTCCCAACGCCTCCGTCAGGACCCAACAGCACGCGCGAATTCTTCAATGCACCACTCAGCGACCGGATCGTTCGCTATACCCATGATGCGGATAGTAATTTGCCATGAGCGTAACGCCTAACTCTCGCCCACCCACTCCCGCGGCTCGTCCCGCGCTACGCACAAGCCGATCATCGACGAAGATGCTCGTCACCTGTGGAAGACGTCGCGTACGCTCGTCAAAATCCGCTAGCGCTCTCTGGTCTGGATTGAGGAGGCCATTGCGTAGTCCGTGGGCAGATGCACGCCGCCAGTCGTACTCACATGAAGATTGGAGGCGCTGCTAGAGGGAGTCTGGCGAGTTAGGATGTGGGGCTTGATAGACTGAACGCTGGGTGTACCGAGCTCGGAAAGATGCAATGGTACCAATGCCTGCGGAAGCCGGCGGAACGAGGCTCGGGCGGCTGAAACGGAGACCTCGGTGGACGAAGAGGACAGCGCTCTGGATGTGGTGCTGGTACGCGATCATACTAACGAGCGCCCTCGTAGATTGCTTTGTCACACCGACCACCGGGTTAACATCAAGACCATCCGCAGCCATAGTATCATCTTGAGTTCCCGAGCGATCCTACCATTGCGTACGGCTTGCGTTTGCTGCCAGTCTTGTAGTACGATACAGCAATCCATATTAAAATCCATATTACTGTACGACAGAAGCACGATACATCAAGCGTACGGATCAGGAGTGTGCATACATATGAATCTGAGAACCGAGCTAAGAGCGTTCTCGCACAGCGAGAAGTTGCAGCGCTGCTGCAGAGAAGTCTATGACCACAGAAATCGAATCGAAGCATCTTACACTTCGGCCGAGGCATCACCGACGCCAGCCTGGGAAGACGCGGAACCTTGAGTCGGGCGCTCGTCGTACCTACTCGACGCGTCAGTGTTACTCCAAGTACGAGCGACGTTGAATGGACACGCACGTCTCCTCGGCAGTACTCCGGCGTACTTCCTCTATCTCATCGTTCTCCGAGCCGTTCTCTGCCTCGCCCACTACTTCTCCTTCTCTGCCCTCAGGCTGATCTTGCGCCCGGGCGCCGTGGTTGACGTAGCTTGGATTCGACCTAGCATGTCATCGTCAGCCGAAGCCCAGGTGGATGTACGAGTCGACGCACTCGAGACCCAACGACATAGAGTTCCGAGCAGGCCGCTCTCCGAACTCAATGTCTCCCAGTGGCGAACGCGCCCTGCGCGTGCGAAGAGTCGGCTTCCAGCCGAACCAGCCGCACACGGTGCAGATGATGCGCCAGTACGATGCACGGGCTTCGGATGTGACGCCGAAGAGTGCGAAGATGGTGAATGCGAGGACTGGCGAAGTCCATTGGATGAAGTAGAATTCTGCTACCTCGAAACTCCCTTCGGACACTATGTCTGTATAGGAATAACTCTCCGGCTGCCAGTCCGTGTGGTCGTAGGTCCAGCCGAAGTAGAATGGGATGGAACCGACAGACAACAAGTTTTTCACACCCAAGACGATCGTCGCGATTCCTATGGGTAAGGTAACCAAGACATCAATGCTTGCGAGAGCAAGAATGCGGAAGTAGTTTGTCCGGGATACCGAGCTGTTGCTCTGTAGAAAGTTGTCAATCTCCCGACCGTGGCGATAGAAGACTCGAGCGACGTGAGCTGGAGTATAGGTCATGAGCATTACAGGATCAAGAAGTTGTGCAAGATGAGCCTAACGCACGATAGTAGAAGGTGATAGACACTAGGGGAGGAATTACAGTCCACGATCTGATCAGCAAGATGTGGAGTATTGAGTTATCGGGAGAGTTGGTGCAGCCAAACCCTTCATCGACCTCAAATCGAAGCCACTGAACCACGTAGTCTCGATGTGCGCTCAGTGCGCACAGTGTTTTTCGCGTTATAGAGGTACTCACAAAGAGGTCCTGCGACTAGAAGAGGAATGCCCAGACCGAGCACCCACTCTATAGCGAGATCTCTGCGTCTCTGGTTGATGTGCTTGGTACCAGGAAGATAGATCGTGCACTGAGACTCACCGCTGCTTTTGTAGGAGGCTCAACCGATCGCAAGCTTGTGATCAGGTATAGGCGGCGAGTGATAATAAGGGTGGCCATAGGCTTGGCGATTGAGGTGATTATGCCTAAATGCGAGACTGCCATGTTTGCACGTTAAGTACATCATCATGCAGAACCGATACCAATACAGAACATGCTCACCTATGTCACAATACACGTACAGCTTGATATCGGCGTTATCTGACCAGAGGATAGCGTCGACACCACCGGCCAAGTTCTCGAAGAACAGCCAGAAACATAGAAAAGCAACGCCCAAGTTCCAGGTCTGGCGGATGAAGCTGGTGAGGAGTACCAAAAGTAGCATCGCTGAAGCTGAGAAGCAAGCAATGGGATAGAGGGGATATGTCGGGTCGGCGGCGGCCATAGCGCTCGACTTCGAGGTGTTGTTGGCCTCGGCGAGTCAGATGTCTGGCCATATATACTTGCGCTGGGAGCGAAGAGCGTCAGCCAAATGTATTATCCATCTAGAGAGCAAGACGGAAACACGACGTACGGCGAACGTATACGCTCGTCTCGCAACGATGTGCAGTACGTCGCCAGTCAAGACGACCATTGCACGCGATCTTCCTGCTGTACGAATGAGCGCACCCATCGCTTCGCGACGGCGACACAGAAAAATGTGGACGGAGGGGTTGTTTACGCGAGCAAGTCGTTGCCTGTCCGGTGTCAAGAAGCACCGGTGGTAGACACGCAGCATTCATAGGCACACCTAGCCCCGAATATCCTGACGCTACTGTCGAGCCTCGATAGCATCACCTAGAAAGGTGTCGCTGAGACGTATGGTCAAAGCTACCAGGTGCAAGTCAGACGGTAGTAAGGAAGGAGCGAGAGTCAAGGTACGTACCAGATCGATCCGTGCGCGTACGGAGTGTTGGGGTCGTCGCCTTGATGTGCTACGATGAAGCAGGTAAGCAAAAAGACACCAACCCGTACAAGACGAGGGATAAACTTCGCTCGTCTCCCTGAATGCCATGCCAATCGGCCTACGCGCTGTGACCGTCAGAGCTACAGATGACCGAACGGCGCACGAGGGTCGATACTTGACGAGATCTACTTGTGTCACGAATCGTCTACTGCATCTGGCGTGTCACTCTTACACCCGTACGAGTCTTAGGTCAATAGCGCCAATAGCGAGGGTGCGCGCTTTGGACGAGTGGAAGGCGCGCTGATGAAAGCGCGCGAGGTTTCCCAGGCACGAAGCGGGAACAGTAGTGACCGCAAAGCCAGCGCCAGCAAGAAGAGCGCGTATACGTATGGGTCTGCGTATTAGGTATCGCTTGGGCTTCGCGCGGTGCATTGCATCGAAAGTTGAAGCTGAAAGAGGATTATTATTCGGAAGTCGTGGTGGTGGTGGAAGTCAAGAGAGGATTGGCCGGGCCCGCCTGCGGCTATGAACAGCTGTGAACGCTGCGCGTCAGGCGGCAACGCGCGAACCGCCTATTAAATCATACGAGCAGCGGCCGGTTTACACTTTCACTTCACTCATCTTCCCTCGATCCTGTGCACGGGCCGCCTCCTTCCTTGCCCGCGAGCGAGGAACACTAGCCGACGCGTATACCTATTCCACGCAGCGCCTCGTCACAGCCCGTTGACCTCAGCATACCTTTGTCGACATCTTCCGAGACAGTGGGCAGCCCGCTCGCGAACACGAATCCGAGGACGAGCGCGCTTCTCTGTGTAGGGCATACCTTGAGACCACGGGATGCAGATAGTTCTAAATAGCTATCCTTAGCGCCGTGAGCGTGGCGTGCGACATATGATGACCCACGACATCCGGCTCCTCATCATTATACGCTGTGTCCGGCGGCATCCCCGAGACATAGCTCGCTCAAGACCCAGCCACGGTACACGCGCGAAGAGTGGCCGACGCAGCCGAATACGGGACTGGGATGGGCGCGCGCGGAGAGTACGAAGAGGAGGATGGCGGCTCAGGAACGCAAGACAGTTAGTCCGTCGCGAGGGGCGCTCGAAGCGGCTATGGTGCCGTTCACTTACATACGAGGCGAGGACGAAGGTATGATTCCTCGTTCTACTCATCCGGAAGCGATGCTGATCACGTTTACTACAGTCAGGACCACGTAGAACGGCGAAACGGGCAACGACATGGTCTAACGCCGACTATGGGCGCGTATATATATCTCAACTCAGCCCTCGCGCGGCGCGGACCGCAGGAGCGCGCTCTCTCTATCGCACTCGGCCACTCGCTCGTCCTAATATCCACCCTAACTCCCATGACGCGACTACATGGAAACTCTCGCCACTCCCCGCTCTCCACCTCGTGCTCAATCACGTCCGGGACTTCGACGCTCAACAGCGACCACTCAACCGGGGGAGACCGTCGGAGGACCTGTGCGACATGGCAAAGGTCACATCGTGGGGGGCGTAGTAGGGCGTAGTGCGGACGTCATCACTCCGCCGAGCAAAGCATGCTGGTGGACGCTTGCGCCCGGAGCGCCTCGAGCGCTCCACTCGTCCTGCCCTCAATCTCGCCACCCCTCCATGCAGTCGCGACCCTGCTCTCAACGCCCACATCAAGCCTCATCAGCACGTGCGAATGCTTTAGTCCTAGCGCACGGATCACTTGCTCAACGCGGGACACGGATGATAGTTGGCCGTGAGCGTAACGCCCGACTTATCCGCCCACCCTCTCGGCTCGTGTTCCTACGCTATGCACAACACCGGCCAAACACGGACATCATCGCTCGCTCAATTCCAATCCCCGCCCACGAGTCTACCGAACTAGCGCAGGTCGGATGCGACTAGTAATACGCGCATGATACCGGACACGATGCTTTTGGGACTCTCGCGAGTTAAGGCGGAGGGATGCGGCTGCAGAGGGTGGAAATTTGCGCGGTATGACGAGAGATATGGACCTGCAAGGGCGAGGAGCAGGACGGTGTGCACCTGTGCATGGTGCACAGGCGCGGGCTGAGAAGAGACGCCGCGAGAGGCGCTCAAGGCGGCTTCATCGAACAGCCGCGATTGGGACGTTCGGCTCCAACAAGACTCTACCCGCCTCATCTTCTCCGCCTGTACACCCACCAGTTCATCGTCGACGAAGATGCTCGTTACCTGTGGCGCGCGTCGGGCTTCGCTAGTGTGCTCGTGCTCGGCTTGAGCAGTCTCTCGTGCAGTCCCTGAGCATAGGAACGTCACCAGTCAGAGATTGGAGGCGCTGCTAGAGGGAGTCTGGCGAGTTGGGATGTGGGGCTTGATAGACCGAGCGCTGGGCGTACCGTGCTCAATAGGGACACAGCGGAACCGATGCCCGCGGAGAGCGGCGGGATGAGACTGGCGGTCGTATCGGATACCTCGATGGGCGAAGAGGACAGCGCTATGGATGCGGTACCGGTACGCGATAGCTTCCTGAGATGGTCCACGAGCATGCTAACGAGCGCCCTCGTAGGTTGTTTTGACTTGTTCTGTCACACCGACCACCGGGTCAACGTCAAGACCATCCACAGCTATCATATCATCTTGAGTTCTCGAGCGATCCTGCCATTGCGTACGCGTACGGCTTGCGTCTGCTGCTCGCCTTGTAGCACGATACCACAATTTATATTACTATGCGACAGAAGCACGATACATCAAACGTACGGATCAGGAGTGTGCATACATATGAGATTATGAATGTGAGAACCGAGCTAAGAGCAATCTCGCACAGCGAAAAGTTGCAGCGCTGCTGCAGAGAAGTCCATGCAACCACAGAAATCGAAGCGAAGCATCTTACACTTCGGCCGAGGCATCACCGACGCCAGCCTGGGAAGACGCGGAAGGCTGCGTCGGGCGCTCGTCGTACCTACCCGATGCATCAGCGAAACTCTCAGTATGAACACTGTTCAATGACTGCTTACGTCTCCTCAGCAGTACTCCGGCGTACTTCCTCTATCTCATCCTTCTCCGAGCCATTTTCTGCGTCGCCCACGACTCCCCCTTCTCCACCCGAGTTAGGCAGGTCTTGCGCGCGGGCGCCATGGTTGACGTAGCTTGGATTCGATCTGGCATACCATCGTCAGTCATTCACTTGTGAATGGACGATCCAACGCACTCAAGACCCAGCGACATAGAGTTCCGAGCAGCACGCTCGCCGAACTCGATGTCCCCCAGCGGTGAACGCGCCCTGCGCGTGCGAAGAGTCGGCTTCCAGCCGAACCAGCCGCAGATGGTGCAAATGATGCGCCAGTACGATACGCGGGCTTCGGATGTGACGCCGAAGAGGCCGAAGATGACGAATGCGAGGATGGGCGATGTCCAATAGGTGAAGTAGAGCTGTGCTACTTCGAAAGTCCCTTGGGACACTGTGTCTGTGTAGGAAAGGCTCTCCGGCTGCCAGTCTGTGTGGTCGTAGGTCCAACCCAAGTAGAATGAGATGGGACCGAGACTCAACGAGTCTTTCACATCCAAGACAACTGTCGCGATCCCAATGGGTAAGGTAAGCAAGACATCAATGCTTGCGAGAGCAAGGATCCGGAAGTAGTTCGTTCGGGATACCGAGTCATTGCTCTGAAGGAAGTTGTCAATCTCCCGACTGTGGCGATAGAAGACTCGAGCGACATGAGCTGGAGTATAGGGCATGAGCGTTAGGGTATCAAGAGCAATCGTCCGATATAAAGCTGACGCACGATAGTAGAAGATAATAGACACTAGGGGAGGAATTACATTCCACAATTTGAGAAGCAAAATGTCGAGTATCGAGCCGTCGGAGGAGTCAACGCAGCCATGCCCCTCAACGACTTCAAATCGAAGCCACTGAACTACGTAGTCTGGATGCGCGCTCAGCGTGCACGGTGATCTTCGCATTATAGATGACTCACAGAGAGGTCCTGCGACCAGAAGAGGTATGCCCAGACCGAGCGCCCACTCTATGGCGAGATCTCTGCGTCTCTGGAGATGTCATCGGTATTAGGAAGATAGGTCGTGCACTGAGACTCACCGCTGCCTTTGTAGGAGGTTCAACGGATCGCAAGCTTGTGATCAGGTATAATCGACGAGTAATGATCAGAGTGGCCATGGGCTTGACAGCCGCAGTGATCTCTTGCATGTGCGATACTGCTCAATATGGCGTCAAATGGAGAGAATGGGCGGAATGAATGGTCCCATTGAGGGTACAGACCGACGTCGCAATAGACATACAGCTCAATATCCGCATTATCAAACCATATGACAGCATTAATACCTAGGGTAAGGTTCTCCCAGAAGAGCCAGAAACAGAGAAAGGCGACGCCCAAGTTCCAGCTTTGTCGAATGAAGCTCGTCAGCAGCACGAGAAGCAGCATTGCTGCAGCGAGAATACAAGCAATGGGGTAGAGGGGATATGTTGGATCAACGGCGGTCATTGCAATCTTGCTGGCACACTACGAGGTCAAAGTTCAGCCTCTTCTTATATGCTGTCTATACGTTGGTATCTGATACCGAACGTATCCGTGTAGACAAGGCCGCCGTATATGAAGAGCATGGCTATGCGAGCTGGCGAGTGAAGAAGGGGAAAGGGTCTATCCGCAGGGCTCAGCATCGCAGTGCAGTTAGATGCCCGTACGTACCGAATGCATATACACATCGCGATCACTCTGGGTAACCTAGCGCGTTTCCATGGGCTTCGATGATATCCACCATTTTTGCCAACGGAACGGCGGAAAGCGAGAGACGTGCCATATCACTACGTGCAAGTCCGATGGGCACCGCCGAGTACATGCATTGGTGAAGTGGTCGCCTGGGCCTGAAAATACCCCTCTTTCTCGTAACTTGATGCCAAAAGGACGCGACGTGGCGAAGGTCGGAAGTTGATCTCATGCGGACGTGAACATTCGTTGATGATATGACCTCGAAAGTCCCTACAATTTCCCGATCCAATGCATGCGCACCACATGTGCTCGGTCGAAACTAGAGATATGGTCAGATCGTACTATCGAGTGCGTAATCCGACACCCACCGTTGCCAAGCCCGATCTTAGTTGTATTTGCTATACGTATTCAGAGGTTGTACTCGGCTAAGGACTTGCTTGCTTCGCAAGAAGACACGACCTAGAAGGCCAGCAGCGCGTGGAGGCGATAGTCGAATAGGAAACGACCTGCGATGCCGTACGCTTGGGCCACAGCCCTGCAATTTGAGTCCAGTTAGCGTCAACTCAGGTATAGCAGCAGTCTGTCAGCATGAAACCAGTCCCCTTGCGCAAGTCTCTTCAACCAGTATTTGGTTTAAGGGCGCAGCGGATCCTGAGCCAATTGTGGCGAGAACAACTCGCATATATTCCGTGATGGTCGTTGGCAGAGAAAGAATCGCGACGAGCGCCCGTAGGCGCCACAGTAGCCGTCGGGTCCAACGGTCGGGTCGGCGCGGCGGGCGCTTGCGCTTGCGCTATTGGCAACAACATGGCTGGGCAAGCGTCTGGCAGCGTGCGCGCACTCCATCTCCTTCACTCGCGGCCACGACCGACGATGACTGTAGTCAACCTGGCGACCTCGACTGCGTCGGTTTTCTCTGCGCTCTCCCACTCATAGAGCTACGCCGAAGACATCCTCCTAGCGGAGTGAATACCGTATCAAGCCCGTATGGATTCAACAAGACTACTGGCGTCAAAGCTTCAAAACTCTACGAACGGGACGCTTGATAACGACGCTGAGCAGGCAGTATCGGGTGCCCTGCCATAACCATTGTGCGCAGCTCTCGATCCGGCCTTCTCACCCGCCTACATACATCTTTCCAGTCGTATCGGTATAGCCATGCACTTTCGTCCCTCCCAGACCTGTCCTGATCTGTTCTATTGTAGTGATTCACTTTACGGTGCGCTCCGGTCTCTTCGTTGTCCTGACCGCTCGTGGTGGTCCAACGGATAAACGAGCACCCTCTCTGTCGGCGCTTGAATCCCCTCATGTCTTTGCCTCCGGGCCGGAGTGTTCGTGGTGGATGGAAGTCGACGAGTTTGACGAACTCGGGAGGTGACGAGGGGGATGGCGCCTTCCTGCACTCGCAGACAACATCCAGGTGCAAACGACCAATCAGGTGCGTTCCCCTCCCTGTTATCTACTATACTATTGCTCATCGCTCTATAGCCCCGAAAGCTGAAGGACAATGCCATTGGCAAGCGCCTGTAGTGTTGAACGTCGTTTCGAGGCCTAACAACCTGATGATCGTGACTGAGCGCTCTCCCCCGCCTCAACCCTCCACCTCCACCTCCACCATCAGGCTGACTGCAAATAATACGCCGCCGTAGAGCGGCCTGGCTTCTGCTCGAGCGAACGGCGACTCGCCCTTGAGACTCGCGTCCGCCCTACCCGCGCATCTGCGCGCCCGTCCGCGGTCGCCGGACTGCTCCCCACGACGGCGCAAGACCCTACACAGCCACTTGGCGCCTATCTGCGGCGCCCGGACGAATCCTGGGAGTTTTTGACCCCATCAATGTCAAGCGGGCGCAGAGGTTGGGCGTCGAGCGGCCTGTATCAGCCAGGGCTACGAAGGTCAAGCGTACGGATCGAGACGAATGCAGAGTTGGCCGTGGCAGGAATGGGCTTGGAAAGGCACTGCGGTCGCGCTGGCGTCGGTACAGGTGCGTACTCGATTCTGTAGAGTCCTCGATCCACGCTGACGCCCATCTTTACAGGTTTACATGCCCAGAAGATACTACAATTGGTGTATATGCAGTGACAACACCCACCATCCCCCCTTGACGCTCTGCGGTGTCACAGACGTAGTACTAGCGTGCCTGTAGGCTGTACACGTACGCTTGCGACACAATATATCCATTTCGAAAGTCCGTGATCCGATCCCTCCGATGAGCCGCGTGTATGTAGCAAACTAAGAGCATCCAGTATGCAAGGAGACGTTGAACGGTGCATGCTCTCCGCAACCGGAAGCTGTGACGCTTCTCAGCGAAGACGCAGACCGGCATAGCATGCTTCTACACATCGCCCGACACATCAAACCCAGCCTGTGAAGATTCACGACGCGGCGCCGTACGCTCTTCGTCTGCCAGGCTACTTGGTCCGTCAACTGGTATTCGGCTCGCGCGATATCGAAGGACTACATACCGTGCCGCATCGCTAGTAGCAATGCGTACTTCTCCGATCACGTCCTTGTCTAAGCCATGCTCGGTCTCGTTCGTCGTACCCTCGCCGCCCACGATCTGATTCCCTGCGCGCGCGTTAGGGTCGATGAAGCTTGGATGCGAGCTAACCCAGCAAAGTCAGCTAAAGCCCTTCGAATGTATGAGTTGGCGTACTCGAGACCCAGCGACATTGAGTTCCGAGCAGGCCGTTCGCCGGACTCGATGTCTCCCGTCGGCGACCGTGCCATGCGTGTGGGACGCGTCGGGCTCCAGCCGAATCAGCCGCAAATGCTGCAGATGATGCGCCAGTACGAGGCGCGAGCCTCCGATGTGGCGCCGAAGAGCGCAAAGATGACGAACGCCAGGATCGGTGAAGTCCAATACTCGAAGTAGAACAACGCCAGATCGAGAGTCCCTTCGGACACTACGTATGCATATGAAAGGCCCACCGGCTGCCATCCCACGTGGTCTTGGGTCCAGCCATGGTAGAATGGGAGGGGACCAAACATCTGAGCATGCCCTTTTACATTCAAGACAATGATCACGAGGCCTATAGGCAGTGTGAGCAGAACGTCGACGCTTGCGAGGACAAGAATCCGGAAGTAGTTCGTGCGGGATACTGAGTTGTTGCTTCGTAAGAATTGATTGACTTCCCGACTGTGGCGATAGAACGTATGCGCGACGTGAGCTGAAGTATAGGTCGTGAGTGTCATGAGATCATGGAGCAAGAGCATAATGTAAGCCTGACGCACGATAGTAGAAGATGATGGACACCAGGGGGGGTAATACAATCCCAGAGTTAAGAAGCAAGATACCGAGTATTGAGTCGTCGGGGGCGTCGGTGCAACCAAAGACCGGTTTGACGTTGAATCGTTGCCACTGAACTACATAGTCTTGGGCCGGGTGAGCGTACATAGGGACGTTCGAGGCATAGACGTCACTTACAGAGCGGTCCTGCGACAAGCAGAGGAATGCCCAAGCCGAGTATCCACTCGATCGCGAGATTCCTTCGTCTCTGATGTTGCACTCAGACTCAGTAGTGTAGAACACAAAGCGCGACTCACTGCGGTTCTCGTCGGGGGCTCCACGGATTGTAAGCTGGTGATGAGATAAAGTCGGCGAGTGATTATCAAAGTAGCCATAGGCTTGACGGTCCCGGTGATTAGGGACAAATGTGAGACTGGCATTTGTATACACTGAGCGCAGTGATACAAGCAGACGTGTGACAATAGCTGAAATCACCTATGTCGCAATACACGTATAGCTTGACATCGCCATTATCGGCCCACATGATGGAATTGATGCCGCCACATCAGCACTTTGGGAAGCGGTCTGAGGGCGTCTGAGGGCGTCTGAGATCGTCT